AATCATAAGATGTACTTAGTTTTTCACACATGGCTTCTCCATTTTGGCTTTCTTTTTGTAAGTTACAAGATTGTCAAAAAGAGAGAACAGAACCTTAAAGATCAAAAGGCAATACCTAAGTCAGCAGTTCTATGTGGTGGAAGCAAAGATGTTTCATAAGGATAGAAAGGTATGGAGAAGTATACTGAATGGTGTAAACCAGATTTATCTATATTTTCTTTTCCTGTTTTCTTACATCATACCATTAATTTTGTTTTCCCACTACCTATTAGTGTTCCTGTCCTTTGTATAATACTGCTTATGTCAAAAGGAAATAGCATGACGCATATGTATATATGTGGGTTATCTAAAGTATATTGAATATGTATAACCTACAATTGTTCCAAAATGTGCACTGATATGCAATCATAGCTATCTGAAAGGAATTCCTATATAGTTTAGCTGAAAAATGCATTGCCAGTGGAAGTTTCTACCACTTCATTATTTTTCTATGGAACTCAAGGATAAAGGGCACATTACTTTGTTCAAATAAATGTATCCAGCTGTGTAGAAAATACCTGGAGTTTCTGAATCTATCTTCAATAATTGAGCATAAGGATTAGGACATCATTTTTATTTTTCTTTATAATGGGCAGATGTCATCCCACTGTTTGCATATGCTTACTCAATAAGCAGAGAACTTACTAAAGTTTTATCTAACAAGTAAACCCAATTGAAAATATCTGTATGCAGCTGTATAAATTCACCCATGCATACAGATGTGTACATATTCTCAGAGTTATTCTGACATCCTTTGGAACTCAATTATTGCAAACATATTACAACAATAAATGAGTTGCTACACGGACAGGCCTGCAGATGTTTTTGCTCTCTTGAATAAATATGTCTCTGATATGCATTGGCTAGCTTAAGCTCCTTGTTCAGAACAGTAGAAAGCTACATGAATACCATCTTATAAAAATAATTTCCAAATTCTGTAACATAATTCATTGTCATGTCTCTAAACCTCAAGAGGCCTCATGTTTTCACATGAATGAACATTCTAGTAGTGTTTAATTGAAAGAGCCCAATTTAATATTTTTCCACAAGCTCTTCTTGTACCAGAATAATGTATAAATAGCAGAGCACAGCTCTCAATGAGTTCAGTGCTTTTCTCATTTCCACTGCAGCAATGGCTCTGGTGAGATAAAGCTAGATCATCCAAAACGAAGCAAACATCTAAACAACAAACATGGCCATATATGGAGCAAAATAAATTTCTCGATAGTCCAAAGTAGAAGTTTTAGTTCCTGTCCTGGGCTTTATATGTTATTAAGAAGGATGGTTATTCTCTTTCTCTGCCTACTAATTTTATTGGGTGGTAAAAACAATAATATTATCCTACTCCAAAGTAACATGTGTCTACTTTACACATAGCTAATGTGCAGGCTCATTTGTATACAGAAAGGTTTCACTGTTTAGAGAATTAGGTCAGAATGTCTGGATTGCAGGTCCTTAAGCTGCAGCTATCTATATACTACTAAAACTCTTGTGTCTGTAATCTTCAACTGGATGAAATGGTGCATTATAGGGCAACAATTTTTGAACCAAGCTATCTCAAATGGGCTAATTTACTGAATGCATCCAAAATCTGGGACCCATTATTCCCATGGGATTGAAATTAGGGAAATTTTGTGGTTGCTTTAGCACTCCTGAGCTGCTGCACAGCTGTGGTCAGCCCAGGCCACGTGATCCTCATGGGCATATCCCAACCTCTTTCCCACATCCCTCTGTCCCCTGCGCCCAATCAACTGGCAGCAAGGCCCAAGGGGTGAATGGCGATTGGCTGCTTTGAAAATGAGGCAGAAATTTGAAATCTCTTAACAGCTGTAGGCATTGAGGGAAGGATGGATCCCTGCTGGTGAGGTAGGGCTGGCTGGGGAGGTGCCACTGGTTGATGGGTGAGTCTTCTTCCTCCCTTGAGGGAGGGGGCCCTTGGGAATGTGCCAGAATGGGGAATAGGTGCAGTTTTCCTCATGGTCTGTGTCTCCCTTTGTTCCACATCCCCCCACCAAAGTGGCATGCAGTTCCACTGGAGGAGGAGGAGG